CGACGACATGGGTAGAACTTGATAACTTGATAATTCAGTTCACGTAACATGGAGGGGCAAGGGCAACCTGGTTGGAGAGGAGGGTTATGAATGGATGTCGTCGGGGGCGAAATTATGGATTTTTGGGAAGGTTCCCCCACACACTGATCCCGGCTTCAGCTTACCCCTAGTGCAGCATGGTATTATGACCTGCTCACGTGTCACCTCACCTGTGGTAGGCTACCCTTCAGCCACAAGTTAATGAAGGTTGAGCTTTTTCAGAAGACTCTTCAGCGTATTTCTACACCGTTTTTTCCGCTTTTAATGTGGACTTTGTCCCCCTCCCCACTGCTTTCTTGTGTGTTTTTCTGCATGAAACTGTGATAGCCGAATGACCGTGTGTTTGTCGTTCTGGCAAGGAAATGGAGGATTCTGTCCGTATGCTTCACTCCTACCGTCTACACCTTTCTCATACTCATTCGCAATTTTAAATCTTTTCTTTCCAGCCGGTGTTGAACAGCCGTCTCATCTACAAGTGAGTATCACGCAGCCCCGTATCGAGCAACAAGGACCCAGGAATGTTGTCTATTGGTCCACCACAGGAGACACTTCGCGGCTGCTCGGCTATAAGGTAGGCTTGAAAGCAAGTGGGCGGCGCTGTTTGGCGACGAGGGGGCATTTTGCACTTCTGCTAAGTCCCACCGACGTGTCGACCCATCTAGAGAGCCATCGAGCTTACAAGAACTGACAGGTCCTACCATGGTGGCTAGACGAGCTTGCTCCAGATTCACAAGAGTTCACAGGTTTCACCAGAGTGAGACTTGTAAACCGGAACTAGTGAAGCAGTGAAGTGCAAAATGCCCCCCCCCCTCCACTCGTCGCCGAACTGTGCTCCCAACTGGGCCAACCATCAAGGCCCAATCTATACATTCAGTTTCAGATTGATATCCGAAGAGATGGTGACCGGGACTGGACTGAGCACGGCGACCTGATTCGTTCGGAACCATCGCAGGCACATTTCCGCCAATCACTTGGACCAGTACCTGTGGCTACCTACTACCTTCGGGTGAGAGCGATTGACGGCGGCGGTAATACCGCAGCCACTTCACCAAGCACTAGCTTTTCCGTCTCCTGCCAAGGTAAGCAAGTTGTTTCAGAGGTTTCCTACAAGGTCTTTGATGCTTCTATTCCAGCTCCGATATCGCCAGAGAATGTACGCCTGGATAGGGTGTCAGATAATCGAGTGCGAATCTCATGGACATTCCCTTCAGAAGATCCGGCCTGTCAGACATATTTCTTCATCACTGGCGTTCAGGTAACTGGCAGGAACGCTGTACCCTTCTGGGAGTTTATGAAACTGTAATTGTTCCAGAATGGCGTCCCTGTGAATCATCGAGTGCCCGGAAATGAACGGAGTTATGACATTGAAGGCCCAGCCAGAGGCGACTGGCGTGTTGAAGTGAGGAATTGAAGTCTTACCCATTCAGAACTCATTTCCGGATCTAATTATCTCTTAAAACAGGTACGGGCTGTCAATTCGGCAGGGTCCGGACCAGCTTCTCATCAAGCAATCTTCACCAGTGCGCAACAATGTGAGTCATTCCTTATCGTCTATAATTGGATAAGAATCCATCAGCATTTGATGTCTATGAGAACGGGTTTTACCCAACAACAACTATGATTAGCCCTCCTTTCTACAATTCTTAGGGCGTTTGACGAGTGACCTCAGCAATTTTTTCCTTGTCAGTACTGTAAGTAATGGGCGATTAATCAGGGCAAGAATGAGGTCAATTCCGCAGACCTTTGCATGGAAGACGCTTAGGGTACCAATGTGCAAGAAATAGCCGGTTTCAGATAAACAACTCATTACAAATGGAAATATAAATGAGGCAAAAGTATAACAGTTCATAGGAGACTTTAGGCGCGCGGCGCAACTGTGCCAAGTCATGCCTTCTCTGTCTTCTGTTGTCTCGCCAGGTCTTTTCGAAGCCTGAGAAAAGGTATATGTACCTTCACGACTTTTCAAATTAAACTCAAGATTTTAAACTAAATTCAAGACTTAGCTAAACACGCCACACTAGGCACTACTGTAAGCCTCGTCCCGACAGCCACGCCCACACTTCAGCGTGAACACGATTTTTGAGATCCTAATTTATACCTTCAGTTTTTGTGACTTTTTTGCTTCTCTTGTCATTTCGCATATCAACACTAACTGAAAAACGACTGCACATCGACACATATGGGCGAGGTTCCTTGCCAGATTTGAGAAGAATTGTGTTTTTCGGATTTCTCCATACACTTTTCAATCTCCATTAATAGTTACATCATCTAATACTAGCTATAACTTACAGAGGCTCGCATTGGTGCACTGGCCAACAGTTACTCCGCCCCTCGGCCACGCCTACTTTTGCATCCATTTGCAAAATTTTGAAATTTCTCAAAAATTTCCACTTTTTTAATCTTAGCTCCGCCCACTTTGTCGAAGGCTCGCGTCACGAAAAATGCCTCAGACTGGGTCAACTTGGATTCTCAAATTGTTGCTTCGCAGAAACGGCTCATCCACTCGAGCAAAAAAAGAACGCCCGCATAGTAAAGGAAACTTGCGCTTTTCAGCTTACGGTTATGCTTGTAAAGATAACATAAGTGCCAACTCACAAGAAGTTTCAGATAAAGATTTCAAAGTCATGTCCCGCGAGAGGTGGGTGTGGTTGTCGGGCGGGACCTGCAGTGGTTGCCTAGGTAGGGGCATCAGTTGACAGGTCTCGAATTGTTCGCAAAAGTCTTGAAATTTGTTCGAAATGAGTGGCGGTGAAATTTGGTTGGAAAAGTCCGTTAATTTAAAATGAAAATGGTACATATGCCATTTTTTGTTCGTTGAAAGGGCGCAAACAAGCAGACATGACATGACGTTGTCGCGCCGACCCGCGGTAATCCTCTCACTTTTCTCCTGGTTCAAAGTGGGTTCATAATACTTCTGCTTACAATTAGCAACTTACGGCAAAGCTCCAAAATGTTTCAGGTCATTTTGAAAGACTTACGTACCACACTATCAGTTTTGCTTATTTTATTACTTGAAATAAATAAATTGATCGCTTGGAGGCCTAATCAATCGATCTTTTGAGGGGCCTCATCACATTAATTGCTAGAAAGATTATCTACTGTTATGTAGTTCCAACGTTTCAGCGATGATCGCATTATTCTGAGCCACCTTTTACCTGAGGGACCAATATTTTGAACACCTTCTGCCTGAGGGCCAACTCTGTTTTCATTTCGTGGAAAAAAAACTGCGAGGGAAAATCGAATCTCTCACTTCTCGCCTTCCACCGCTTTTGTTGTCCCAAAGCTGGCTTTACAATACTGCCATTACTTCTAATACTTCCCATTTCTTCAGTATCTCTACATGAAATTTATTCGGATAAATCAATCGTAGAGCTTATGATATTTAGCCCATAAGCATCACCGTCATCGTCGCAGCGTTTGCGACCCTCGAACGGATTTTTGGTGTCGTACGGAATCACAACGAACATCATCCTATCAGTACTTAGAAGTCGGAGGAGGTAGCGTGCCAGAGTAGTAGGCTCAGCCGAGCAGCCCATTGCCTTTGAGCGTGCCTTCGGCTCCTGTCGTTCCCTCTCTATAGAGCTCCTCCCTATCTCCCTAGACTACTCTTCTCCTCTAGATCTTCATTTCCATAACAAATGCTGCTGTGGAATGCTGTTCATACTAACATTAGCATGGAGTGCTAGGGCTATACGATAATTCCCTGAAGGGCACATATTTTAGCGCTCGTCTCAGCCCCAAGAGTGGAAGCTCGTGGGAATGACCTTCATGTCCAGTGGAGGAGTGAAGGGCGATGGACGTGGCGTGTTCGGCTACCGTCTGCAATTCCGTAGCGAAAGCTCTGGATGGAATCCTTATGGGTAAGCCTTCTTCAGACCTCAATATCAGTCCTCATAGCTAGGTGGAAACTGCTTCAGCCAAATCGTCCCGTATGTGGGCGATAACCAGGACTACTCCCAAACCCTCACTGGCCTTCAAAAAGGTCACACCTACGCCGTTCACATTCAGGTAAGATTCCCTGAAATCATCTCGTTGACCCCCTCCTGAGAGCTCGTTTGCAGGTTCTCGACAGGAATTCATACGTGATGTATGTCAGCCCTGAAGCGTCGGCGAGAAGCAGCTGTACAGGTTTGTCACCCACTTTAATCCAATTATATGGACCGCACCATTCAGTTGGACAGTTCAGC